GTGCTTGAAAGGTGATTATTTTCTATTGAATAATTTGGCTAAGCACCCTGTTGAAATTGTAGATTTTGATGCACCATGAAAGTTGATACATAATTACCAATGAAAGTTGAATGGATATATCATCTTTTGCAACATTGTTGTTTATTATATGGCAATTTAGGCATATGGCAGAGATCGTAGATTTTTCAAATGCGCTGTCGGTCCTCGATTCATTTTTATTACTAGGACACCACACGTTCACGCTGGGTTGAACAGACTGTAAGCCGAAAATATTCAGAGGATGGAGTGACCAGCCAGATCTCCAAACCTGAATCCTATATATCATATCTGATATATTTGGATCAAAATGATTTTCATCGTCCCAAAATAGTTGTCAACCTGGTTGAAAAGAACGAGAGAGAGATCTGCATTGCTGTCAAAGTCGGACACAACCCAAAAATTGCCATTTTGCTATACTATTTTTGAATTGTCTTGCTGTGATGAATTTTAATTTCAGATTTTGAGTTCGGGCTCATTTTTGTCATGCTTTGATGTACTTTTATTTTAAATTTCACTTGATTTGGTTCGCTAATTTCGCTAGTTCTCCGATAAAATGCATTTGTTCTTTAACTTTTGAATATGTGGAAATGACATTAGTAGTATTTCTAGCGTATAAAACATTTCAAACAGTAACTTATTTATTTACTTTCTAAGACTCAGAAATGACTGCATTTTTACAACCACTGCTATATCTTTTCATTAGTTTTTCTGCTACGAGCTTATTTCAGTTCTGAAACATACACCGATGATGGTTTGAATTGCTACAGCAAAAAATGTATTGTAGTGAGGCAAAAAAGATAAAATAAGACTAAACAAAATTGTGTGATATTGTATGCAAATTAAAACGCTAATAGTGTGACACGAGCAGCTTAAATGAGTATTAGCTATTTATAGATTTTGCCAATTGGTAGTTTGAGACGAAAAATAAAGGTGAAGCATAATATTTTTCCAGCAATGACATCGTAAAATTTTAAAGCTAATTTAATAAAATACCACGTGCAACCTACATTTCAGCTCTACGCATGAATGATTATTTTATCTGAGAACTCCTTTGCACGAATTTCGTAACCTTGCTTCTCTCCACGTGTCATTCCCAATAAGAGTAATTGGTGAATACAAATGACTCCCTCTTAATCGAACTTCATTCTTGAACCCTTGACAGGGACGTATAGTGTTGCCTATATGTTGTTTTTATTTCTTGATGAGTTTTACCCCATCTTACATCTTCCCCCTTTAATAAAATTGCTCTACACACGTAGATCTTTTTTTGGATACCTCCATTAAGTATTGATCTCAGAAATTGAATAAATGGACTGAGAGCCGTTCGGTAACATCCCTTTTTGTTTACCTGCAAACAACTACTGCCACCCAAGGAGATGTAACTGTGTGAATCCTTTTTGTCTCAGCAGCAGCTACATTTCCAGCTCATCTTCAATTTTCAAGTTTTTCTTTAAATACTGTAGTTTTCATTGATTGGTCTCATCGTTATTTATTGGCTGAATTCAACACCATTGTATACGCATTTTTCATTGTCAGGTTCTCCAGAGTTACCATATAACTTTTTAGAGGGTTGTTTCCATCTACACACTGAAAATGAGCTACTTTTAATGCAATTTTCACTTTAAGATGCAGAAGAAAGTTCCTCAGTGAATTAGGTGGATGTTCTATGATAGGTATCTTCAGTATCATTATGCCGACTCGGATGTATTTTTCTTGTTCTCATCTCCTTCACCATATTAAGTTTTTGGTTTTTTGAGCAGGTTCTCATTATTTGTAAATCTGCACGAGAAAATAACAGTCTCTGGCCCTTCATGTGTTCAACATCGGGAAGAATACAAAATCTCGGTCTTTCAGAAACGTTTATCAATATTTTAAACGTTTTCTTTCTTCTGCTTACAACGATTAATTCTTTACCGTAGAAGAACGTTAGGCTTGACGTCTTTAATTTCTTTATCTTTAATTAAAAAATCAGTTGCGTCATTTAAAACATCCAGTATGTGTTACCTACAGTATTTCGAAACCCCTTCCTTTAATGAGTAAACTATATAGTTGGGCATTAATTTAACTACCCATGTTGAGATCAATGAGATTCTCAACTGTATCGTAATGCCGGACTCATGTTTTCCTAAAGCAACGCTTGATGGGATGATGTGTGATATTGAGGAGAGAAAAGAAGTATTCTTTTGCAAAAAGTTTCATACTGTTTGAATGGATTCCATTCTTGTTCTTCGTCACCAAGCCTAAATTCAAAGGCATGTGCAATGATGTAGTCCTTAGAGCCTTGGTGGCTTGAGGAATAGAACGTTCGCCTCCCAATGAGATGACCCATGTTCGAATCCCAGCTGTGACTGGCTAATACGAATTCTACTCCCTGATCGCACCAACCATAATGCTGGTGTAAAATGTCCTCAGTGGTAGACGGATCGTGGGTCAGAATCCCGTTGAACTAACCATAGTCCCGCAGTGGACTGATCGTTAAGACACGGTTCCCAGCAGATCACCGAAGTCAAGCATCACTGGCTGCGGTCAGTGTGTGGGTGGGTGACCACTTGAATCAGTCTGCGTAGGGACCGAGGGTGTGCGGTACTGGTCCACGTTAAACTGTTCTACCGTAAAGTGCTCGATTTCGCGCAGGTCGTCGTGCTACCGAAGCCGGGGTGCCACCCCCTCTGTAAAGAATCAAAGTTGTGATGGCATGTCTTCGGATCATCCTCAGGGATGTTTCCCAGACAGTCGCCAATAGCCCATTGTGCAGCTCTAGTGCGACGTAAATGAACTACAGCAACAACTAACCATATTCTAGGTTTTCGTGGTTTTCCTCGCCTTATAACGCAAATGCGTTATAAGGCGAGCTTAGGCGAAATGCTTAGTTTTATAAAAAATTCCTTCACGAAAAATAATGTGTCCTAATGCTTGATCCAGGAGCTTCCTCGTCTTTTAAGTTGAGTTCAAAATTACAGGGCTACGGAGTTGAACATTGATAATCGTAAATTCAAAATTTTGCCTGCATGTTCCACACCGGTTATAATATAAAATGAAAAGATATAGTCTGGTTATAGGTTATAAGCTATTCTTGTTAGATTCACGGTTGCGCGGGCAATTCGTCTTACTTGTAGTTTCTAAACATTCACACGCAAGTCTAGGGCAATCGCATGCAGTCTGGATGTTCCTTAAGCATATGCTGTATTCACGATTTGGAGATTTGTGAAAAAGGCCAGCGAATCTTAGAAATGTCTTTGTGATTTATGCAGAGGTGAAGTTAACTAATAAATTAGTTTTAGACGTTGAATCAGTTTACTGATATATGCTAAACATAACTTTAATAATACTAGAATAAATTTAAAAAAATAAATAAAATAAAAAAATAAAAAAAAGTGCGTGGAGTCCCTCCGCGTGGAAGAAGTTAAACTTCGCAACCTGCGACATTAATTGTAGAAGAATCAGCAGTCGTAGAAGGATCACTAGCTCTATTCAACGACTCTTTTTCCTGCTCCGCTCGCTTCTGTGCTCTTTAATAACGGTAAAATTGTGCATTTTTCCCTCTTGGACCTCTTGAACCAGTGGAAGTGCTTGCGGTTGCCTCATCGTCTCGCCATGGAAAATGTATTTGCATTAATAATATATGTGAATGCGTCATACTGTAATTTCATAAGAGAAAACCTAACAATCAATTGATATTCACAAGAGACGTACCTTGACATAACCTTAAATCCGTCGATTATTGATCAACTTAATTTTCACTCATTTTTTACAATTGTTATCCACTAAATTTGAAAATAAAAAATACTACCCTATTAAATTATATGTGTATCAAAACAAACTAAAAAAATATTTATAGAAAAACAATACTTTTATGACCTTTATGCTAGTGAGAACCAAAACAATATGGAAATGAATGAGGGAAAACTGGATCCTACCACGTGATTTCCCGGCCAATAAAAATGTAGCGTTAAACGTTTAACGCAACCTTGTTGGAAGTCGCATAAGAAGTATAACTTCAAAAATTGTAGCGTTAAACGTTTAACGCAACCTTGTTGGAAGTCGCATAAGAAGCATAACTTCAAAAATGTTAAAAAACAACTATGGGCTTTTCCTATTGCACTAAAAAGTCGCAGACGAAAGTACATTTTTCTTGTATCTTGAAAATCGTGTACGGAAAATAGAATACTCTTAGAATTCTTACCACTTTTGTTCCAACTGCTACCATTTATTTTGCATTTTAATAACTTTTAGTATTGTTAACCTTTTTGTTTTCTATGAAATATTACTTTTGGTTTATGGAATTTTGATGCTTTGTGGTGGCATATGAAGGGGGAAGGCAGTTGACATTCTTCATTTACTCCATACATTCTCGATTTTTTCCTCTATGTTGTAAGCATTGAAATTTTTGCCAATGACGTCAAAAATTACAGAGGATCATTTAATTTACTTTCTAGCATTTCCCAGTCCTTATCGGCAATTTGTAAACACAAAGCAATTCACTTAGGATAAATATTTTATTACGAAAAAATTTTAAAAAAAGGATGAAAGGTAAATATGTTTGCTTCAGCGACAAAATGTTGCAACGAACTTTTAAATGTGATTTAAATATATGAAATAGGCAAATTTTAAAGTTTTTTTTTGCATTTTGCGATTTTTCAAATTTTTTTTTTTTTTTTAACCTTGTTCTAAAGCAAATCAAGGATAAAAAACATCGAATGTTGTCGAAAAAACAATACGTAAGCATCTTAAATTCGGCAGCTAACCTTGAATGTAGCTTTGGAGGTTTAGATCTAGGTCCAGAAAAAAAAAACCTACAATAGATTCCCAGTCATTTCCAGAAACATGGAAAAACATATAGTCGACACACGTGCCTTGTTCTGAATTCAATTAAAGGTCACTCGGTTGAATCTTTATTCCCAACTCCTCTCTCCACGTGCGGACACATCGCGCCATCTTGAAAAATCAACTCAAGGTATCGATCCTCTCTGACGTCACAAAGTACCCTCTATCATTCTCCCTGTATCCCTTGATGTCTTTTCTTCCTGGATTCTCATCAGATTTGTCACTCTCCTTTCCTGCGTCTTGTCCTGTATCCCAGTGTCCTAGTGTCCGGCCATAATCATCCATTTATTACTTTAGAACATCAAAAAACATGTCAGGGCGTGAGATCTTCCTCGTTCTTTTTGGGATGGAGTTTCTCTTGACCATGACGGGAGGTAAGTCAAGAGTTTGACTTCGATTTGAATTTTGGAACGGAAAATTAAATCGTGTCTTTTGTATTCAAAAAAGAGTGACATGAAATGTGAATTGTTCTGGAGAATTCGCAGAGGAGAGTTTCGATTTAATGCTTTTGCGATTTATGTAAGATGGTTTCGTATATGCATGCATTCAATTCCGCATCTTGAATAATAAATTTTAAATGCAAAATCTGACTGATAAAAATCAAACAAAAGAATGTTGTTCTTTCTTTTTAGTAAAGTGAAGTGAAGTAGGAATAATTTATTTTCCCTTATTTGCACTTTTCAGAGTTAAATATCCAGAATTAACAAAAAAATATTGAATTTTTTTATTACATTTTCTTGCATTTATCCTTTTACTTTTTCATAAAGAAGTGAATACACTTTTCCTATTAAAAAAAACGAGCAAGAGGAAAGTAAATAATAAAAAGAATAATGTTAATAAATAAATAATAATAAATAGCTAAATAATAATAAATAGCTAAATAATAATAATAAATAAATAAATACTAATAAAATATACATTAATAAATAAATAATAACGGGAACATCTTAGGCAAATTGACTGTCAGCAAATGAACGCAAAAAACAGGATAAAAAATATATTTTACAATACATTTTTTAAATATATTTTTTTTGTGTAATTTAAAATTTAAAACAATCTTTATAAAATCGAAAAGGGAATATTGGATAATTCATTAAAACTGTGTCGTTTACAAGTAAACAAAAGCAACAGTAGGTGTAAGAAGGCAAGAATAATAAATTGCGAATTTATTTATTGATTATCACACCTGCATAAGTAGACTATGTGTTGTGTGCTCATTATAAAGTACAAATAATGAGCCCTTGTCAAGTTGAAGAAGAAGAAGCACAATTTAGAGGATGACATCACAAAGATGCATCCAGGGTTAAGGAGAGATCCGAATTCAATACCTCTAAATTATAAACTTAACAGGTACAATAAAACAGATTATTATATATTTATATACTTCAATTACAGTCAAAGTGCAGGAAAGAGAGAGAAAATGGGACATATATATATATATATATATATATATATATATATGGGTGATTCTCACGAAACATGACAATTCGGACCAAACAATTTCTTCAAATTTAAAGTCTTCAAAATAATTGAAATTTTTTTTGTATAGTTATTTAATTACATTTATTAATATCTTACAGACAGNATATATATATATATATATATATATATATATATATATATATATATAAATTTTTTGAAGCTTTTATATTCTAACTGCTGATCGATCTGTGTAGGGGTCATGGAACTGGCCTTGCATCAGGAAGGTTCTGGGTTCGAATCCCGGGCAAGGCATGAATGCTCTTTCCTTCTCTGTACTATCTGTCTTTACTGTGGAAGCAGCGTCAGTCCACTTAATATGGTGCCCCTGAAAGAGTGGTCAAATCTGCCCTTTAGATGCCTGTATTGAAGAAATGTCGTTCCCCAGGCAGGCATTGTGAAGAAAAAAAAATTTAAATTAAAAAATAGCCGATTGGGCTTTAAGAAGAAGTAATTTTTAAAATAAATTCTAAAATTTTTGAAAACTATTGAGGGGTGGGGGCATGTGCCCTCCGACGCTACACCTATGCTGCCGCTCGATAAACGCGAATCTCTATGAATGAAGAAAGAGTGACGGGACTACCTTTTCTTAACATATGGGGTTTTGGGAGCATTCAATGATCAAAAAGATTGTGAAATATGCATATTGTACTGAAATTGTATATTGAATTGTGAATTGCATATTGAATTGTGAATTGCATATTGAATTGTGAATTGCATATTGAATTGCAATGTGAAATATTCATATTGTATTGGAATGTATATTGTATCTTCATGGTCGAAACACCCCAAGAGTTTCTTGTATGCATTCATAACCTTTGCGAATTCATTTTCAAAAGGTTCAGTTCCGAAGTTCTTGTTTGAAAATTGTATTTTCTCGCTTTGTGAAGTGTTGTAAGAGATGATTGAGTTAAAGCACGTGGTAATTGATTTTATTTTTGCTTAGATTTAACAATTCTCTCAACGATTTTAAACGAAATTGGCTGCTCGTAAGCAGATTAACGCTATATGCTCAGAACATAAATTAAAAAAATTCAAGGAAGTGGACAAAGGAATAACACCGAAACCACATGTTGCTTAAAATATTCAAAATACTAAAAAGCACTTTGTTTATGATAATTAAAAATCGTGATGTAATTCTGAAGACTGGAGAGTAAGGTGTTCACGTCATCGTTCTCGCGAAAGAAGATTTCGAATTCTAGAAAAAGCACAGATTAACTTTCTAAAAATTATGAGCAATATTAAAATATGTCAATTAATAAAAATTAAATGTATTTTTAACCTTTACTGTATTAACACTTATATAATATTAATGCTTGTATTTTATTGACATAAAAAATTATAATTAATTGTCATATTTTAATTCTTCTCTCTCCAATCGATTTTGTCACAGTACTTACAATTCTAATCATTAAATCAAAATTTCTCTGAAGCAGTGGTTCCCAATCCATGGGAATTTTCTCTTTTTATAATGTTTGTAAATATTAAATGTCAACACTATTTTTTAGAAAAGTACATAAAAATACAGTTGTTATATGCATTTTTTTAAATATAAAAGATTTTAGTGTGTTATTAATAAATAAAGAAAAACCCCAGTTTTGGAATATACTTATTGAAGGACTTTTCTGAGAGTAAATTTCCAAATATGGCTTCATAATTTATTTCCTTGACATCGTAGTAAAAAAAAAGCTTTTTTCCTGTGGTTTCATAGCCAAGAAAAGTATTTTTTTTTGTTGCTAAAATTACACCTCGTAAAATATTACTCACTCTGAACGCAATAAATTATTAACATTTTAAAAGATTAACCCTACTTTCTTTTTGAAATTTTATTTTTTTTACCGTGAATAGTTTGAGAGTTAAAAAAAAAAGAAGAAAGAAGCTCCACTGGGATTAGGGATGTATTTTTCTCAGAAGTTTCACTTTGAAAGGTGTTGGAAAGTTTTTGCAGCTTCTCAACAAAAATATTCTAGAAAGTTAATTGATTTCTTCCTCATCGATCAAAAAATGATGGGTTTAAAAGTTCTCGGAGTTTGTTCTGGAATATAGTTTGTTATTACTTTGTATATACGCTCGGGAGTTTTATAAATAGATTGTGCAATGTTTGCAAAACTTTGAGAAGAGTGATACCAACAGTTTTTAAATAAAGTTTTTACCTTATGGCTTATTGGAAGCGATTTCTAAATTATTCGAAGATTATATTGTAGGAGATAAATTTTATTAATACAATATTTGAACAGTTCTCCATCTTTATTCATTTTGAGATGCATAGCCTCAAAGTCTATTTGTGGTGCTCTCTGTTTGGTAGCATAAACAAGCTGGAGGCGCATTAGCACCTTAAGAGGAGTTACTTTGGGACAGGTGAGGTTACTTTTGGTCACTCGCTGTTCTTGCAGTTAAATGACTTCCAGTGACAAATTATTTTGTACTAGTTTGCAGGTTACTAGGCAGTACTAGGTTGTGAAACAGCTGTCATTTCAGTTATAACTTATAGTTGGTGATCTACAAAAGTTGTCAAAAAGTGTAAAAAGGCGACTTTTTCAAAATTCGATATCTCAGAAACTATTCAACTGATTTCGCTCGAATTTTGCATTTTACCATTTAAGATTGCATTATCCAAAATAATGTAAAAATTTGTATATCTTACATTTAAAATTTTTTTCGACTACTATTAAATAAAATAATAAATATTTACTAAATTATATTTTGCATGGAAGCATGGCATACAATGAATTGTATAATTGCGCGCTAAAATTTTTCAATTCGCTTAATAGTTCCTGAAATACTCAAAGTGTAAAATTAATATTAAGGGATCCAAACTTTCGACCTCTCTTCTGAAGAACCTGTCGGACTAAATTTCCCAGATTGCGGCTACCCCTCATATTTTGTAGTTAAAAATCCAAATACATCGAAGAAAATGTATGCTTATTCAGAGAAAATGCGTTTTTGCACCTGATTTCGTAACTTTAAATGTCGTCTGTACTTATTAATTAGCATATTTGATGTCACCCCCTCAAACCATTAAGATTGAATCCTAGACCGTGTAGATCCGATCAGTAAATTAAAATATATTCAAGATATGTCCCTTTTTTCTTTAGCTCTCTGTAAATTTCGACAAAAAAATAGGCTAAAAATGTCATTTAAAAAAACTGTAGCTTTAGGTGCAAAATTAACTTCAGATTCGAAATCAATGATGCTAAAATATCCAAGATCCGTTAAAAAAATCTCTTGCAACAAATAAAAAAAAAAAAAATTTTTTTTCTCCCGATATTAGATTATAGACAGATTAGATTATGGATTCGATGATTAGATTATAAGTTAATCAGGGTGGTCCGTTTTCTATTTTGCACCCAGTACATCATGCTCTTAAAATTTCTAAATTAAATATGTGTGGGTTGAAGGAAACTTTCCCAGTGGGAAGTAAATACTAGATTAGATCCATTGTTTGATATTTTAAATAATAACATTTACATACAAATAACATGGTAAAAGTATTTTTGATTACCCTTAAAAAAGATTTTATCGTCACAAGACAAATATTTCACCATCTAACATTATCTTATAACATAATTTATATATTTTTATTACATATATAACATAATACACAGTGAGACAAAGAATATATGTATTATTAAAAAAAAGAAGAACGGAGCACCCTGATTAATTTTTGATCTAATGATCGCATCTTCACGTTTTAGGATTTAATCCTAATGATTCAACGTTTAACGTTTTAGGGCTTAACCCTAATTTTTGATCTAATGATCGCATCTTCACGTTTTAGGACTTAATCCTAATGGTTCCTCAAATATGCAAACTAATTAGTGTAGACGATATTTTAAGTTACAAAATCAAATACAAAAACGTACTTTCTCTGAATAAACATACCTTTTTTTCAACGGATTCAGATTTTTGACCCCCAATACCGCAATCTGGGAAATCAGGTTCCCAGAGTTTGATCAGGAGAGCGATTCAAAGTTTGAACCCCTTAATGCTAATTAACTTTTTGTGTTTTTCGCCATACCTCGAGAACTTTTCTAGAGAATTGAAAAACCTTTGCACACAATCTTAAAATTTGTTTAGGGAAAGATAATACCATGCAAACAATAAGTTTTAGTAAATATTTATTATTATTTGTTATTTTATTTAATAATGGTCGAAAAAAATTTGAATTGTAAGATATGAAATTTTTGTCAATTTTGCTTCAAGTACATAAATTTACTTGGGAAAATGCAAAATTGGAGCGAAATCGGTTGAATAGTTCCTGATAAGTTGAATTTTAAAGAAGTCGTATGTTTAAAATTCGAGAATTTATTTAACCGATATGGCACAAATTTTGTATTTTGCCATGCAAAATTAAGTACTTTAAAATTATGTAAAAAAATTGCATACCTTAGAATTCAAAACTTTTCGTCTATTATAAAAAATAAATAATTATTTACTAAAAGTTATTTTTTCAATTATTATGTTATCTTTGACTAAAAGAATGTTCTAATCGTGTGCAAAATTTTTTCAACTCACTTAAAAATTTATTGAGACATGGTGAAATACGCAAAATTAAAGATAAATATTAAAGATATGTAACTAACAGGTGGAAATATCTAAAATAAGTTGAAAGCAGCTACATTGAACTTAATACATACTTTTTTAGATTGATTTTATTATAAAAGGAGGCATCACGGTGTAAAATACTGAATTTAATGGAAGTGAATTTAATCTGACTAATCTTAGAGAAATTTATTAAATAGTAATTAGATAATTGTCAAATTCCAACTATATTTTTTTATTCTTTAAGTGAATCGATCTAGGCATTTCAGTGTCATTCAATAAATTGATTGTCATTCAATAAATTAGAGTAATATTAGCTTCCTAAGAATTCAGCATTTGATAATTATGATAATACTTGTTGAATTCTTCTAAATTTCGATCACTGCTTGGTGAAGCTAATAATGTTGGTAGAAATAATTTTAATTTCACGTACAAATGAAGAATGCAGCTTTTCAGGAGAAAAAACTGACATTTCAAGTTAAAAAACATCATTTGCACAAACTAGTTTCATGCTAAAAATTACCAAGCAGAATGAAATAGCAGTACGTCACAGATCACGTCGTCAAAAGATCCAATCAGCGCTCTCGAAATCTCTTTTCAGTTTGAGTAGTAGTAAGGGTTGGTTTTATGCTGGGAGGTGACTTGTGCAATTCTTGATTTTGTGTAAATCAATAATATGTTCCTTAATCATCATAATGTGAAAATGATCTGCTTTAGACAATGTTTGTTCTGACGTCATAATGCCAGCGAAAAATTGAAATAGTATGATATATTGTTGAATATATAAATCTGTACTATACTGTTATTCAGTATTTTAGCCAACTGTACGATAGGAGGATGTTTTCAGTTATCAATAGATGGATGGATGGTGTGTGAATGTGTCCTTCCTTTATAACGGGATACGCCACATGTAAGTTGTCTCCGGGTCATCCTCAGGGATGTTTTAGCCCATTTTGCAGCTCTAGTGCGACGTAAATAAAAATACCTTACAGTTTAGTACCATAGATATCAATAAGCGTGGAGAGGCACCAGTTTTTGTTATGGCTAAAAGAGGGCAGTTTATTGGACATCCGACCATCTGATTACGGCAAGAGAAATCAAATAAAAGAGATCCCATCACCAACCAAAATTTCTAATAATATACTTGATGTTGAGATTTTAAAGTATAATTTTAAATAATAGGAATAGAATTTTGTTATTAGGAATAATAGAATTCATAATGCTAATAGAATTAATAATAAGGATTGAAATAATAATATAATTACTCATAACTAAAAAAAAAATAATACTTTATTTCGGTTTTTAGAGATATTTTAAAACCTTTGCGTCTGTATTCGATAACAAGATTGTTTATTATGCTTTAAAATAATGTTTTAATCCATTTTTAAGCACTGACGCATATTACTATCGCTTTTAACTTCCATTTGAATGAGCCTTTGTTTGAAGCGCTGTGCAAATCGGTGGGAAAACTATTGAAGAATTTGGAAGCTAAATAACTGAAGTTCATGGTTAATGTATTTTGGTGAGACATCGGTATTTGCAGAGATGGGTCTTCGTCATTCAGAATAATGAATAAGGACGAATGAATAATCATTCGAAACCTTCGTGAATAATTAATAAAATTTAATTCATTAGTCAGAAATATTCTAAGTAAAGAATAAATCATTTTTTATAGTCTATATTCCCTAATCATTACTCAAGAATAAATTCAAAATGCATAATTTCTTGAAATACTATTCAACAGAAATGGTCGCCGAACATCGTAGGTGATTATAAATGCAATTGATAGTAAATAAAAGCAAAAAACAATGCAAAAGCAATAAACTACTCGCAATCCTCATTACAAGTAGTCACAGTTAAAAATAATAATAATTTCTTGTAAAAAGCGTTTATCTTTACCCCTGATCACAACAAGCAGCGATTACAGATAATTTTAATTTAAAATAACCAAGTTCTTTCATTGCCAATTTTTTTTAATTGTAACTACAAGCAACCAATATGTAGAATTACACGCAAACATGATTTCCAGTAATAATACTCATACGATTGAAAATAATCTTACAATTAAATATAATAATTACAGCAAGGATAAATGTAATCATAACTTCAAGTGATTTTGATTACCTTGAAATCAGAATTGTAATTAATGAATTTTTTCTAACACAATGCGTAAATGTGCCTAAATTAATTTTATTGTTCAGTTTACAAAATATAAATTTTTAATTATAGTTCGTAAACATATACATGCTTTGCATGAACATACATACAGAAATATATTGTAAGTGCAGAAATATATACTTAAATACACTGTATGTACACGAATACATTTGTGTATTGAATATACGTGCATAAATGCATACCTATATTGTATGTATACATACGGACGTGCACGAATGTATGTATTTTTAAACTTAACACACACGTATTATATACATGCTGTATGTATATGTAAGTACATACACATATCAGTACGCTATATGTAGGTATGTGCATATAGCGTATGTACATCGTATGTAAATACGTGCATACAAACCGTGCATGCATGTATGTAGGTAAGTTGTTTGTACATGTGTAGGTGTGTTGTATCTGCATTGCGCAAATAAAAAAACACCCCAAATAACTTTCGATCTAATGATCGGCTTTTCACTTACTAACTCTTAATGGTTCGAGGACAGTATCTTAAATATGCTAATTACTTAGTGCGGATGATATTTTGTGCTACGAAATCAGATCCATTAAAAAACATGGCCCTTTTTTTTAAACGGATTTGGACTCCTGACCTTCAAAAATTGGGAGGGGATAGCCGCAATCTGGGAAATATTGTCCCCATAATTTGATCAGGAGAGCGGACAAAAGTTATCAAATTAACCAGAAAAGTTAATAAATATGTTACAAATACTAGCTTAATTAAAAATTTTGAATATGAAATATTACATATGATAATTAAATTACATTACGAAAAATTGTATACAATAATTTTTTTACCAATAAAAATTATTTACTATGCTGTAAAAGAACTAAAAATCCAAGCTTAATACTCTTTAAAACCAAGGTCCAATCTTTTGACCGCTCTTCAGATCATACTATAGGGATCATATTTCGTAGATTGCCTTTTTTTATATATACCGAAGAGCCATTACATTATGACCACCCTCCATCTATAACAATGGGCTCGCCCAAGTTTTCATGGTTTCTCGCCCAGGAACAATGTTTTCATGGGGCACATTATGACCCATAATCCTCATAGCACAATCCCTGACGTCTGTAAGCTACTTGAGCATAGTTGCAGACCAGATTCACCCATTCAGGGCAACAGTTTTTCCTGCTGGGGATGGTGTTTACCAACAGGATAATGCACCATGTCATAAGGGTCGAATCGTCATGGATTGGTTCGAGGAACATTCCTGTGACTTTCAAGTCATGTCTTGGCCCTCAAATTCACCTGACCTTAATCCAATAGAGCATTTGTGGTTCTACTTGGAAAACCAAATTCATGCTGCCACTCAACCCCCTCGCAATGTGAGGGAATTGCAGGACCAGTCGGTGAGCGCTTGGTACCCCATACCTCAGACTACCTCGTGGAATCAATGTTACGGCGGGTGCTAGCAGTTTGGAGGGCTAAAGGTGGTCCTACATGTTATTAGCAGGGTGGTCATAATGTAATGGCTCTTCGGTGTATATGTATATACATAATGTTCTGGGCTCTACAATGAGATTTAAAAGTTATCTAAAAACAACTGAAAAAAGTGTCACAAATTAACCCCACTTTACGGTAATTAAATAATATAGAAATTCATTGTATGAACACAAAAGTGAGTGTAACTCTACTTTTTTACTATAAGAATTCAATAATTATATCAAAAGTTATTCGGATTTTTATTTAAAAACTGTTCGAATCAATGACAAACTGTTGTGATCAATAATTTTTATTTCCTAATTGTAATATATATACTTCTTTTTACTTTTTATAGGTTTTGCTTATCCTGCCAAAGAGATTGCCAATCAAAATAATGAGGTAAGCATTTTAATTTCAGTTTTAATTGATAATGGTAGTAGATTTATCTTTTTTTCAAAGCATCCACAAAACAATTTAGCAATAATGTGTTTACTTTTTTCTTCATTTTCTTTTCTTTTTTGTGATTTTTTAAAATGCATTTTATTTTATTTTTATTTTATAATCGTCGTTGAACAGCTGACCCAATTTTGAATTTACGACTACCAATGCTCAACTCTTTAACTCCGTAGCCTTGTAATTTTGAACCCAACCCAGAAGACAAGGGAAATTTTGGATCAAGTATTAGGAGAAATTTGCTTTCGTGGAGAACTTTTTGATGGAACTAACACGCATTTACGCTTCATGGGGAGGAAAACCACAAAAACTTGGCGGCAAGGGGACTCTAACTCATTACCCGTCAACTACTGACGATATTTTACGGCAACACTGTGGTCGGTACAAGTCGGGTGCGGAATTCGTATCGACCAGCCATCACTGGGATTTGAACAAGCGGTACCTCATTGGGAGGAGAGTGGTTTATCCCTTGAGTCTTTTTGGGATTAGTCTATTTAAGCATTTTTTTTTTAAAAAAAATCTTTTTTATTCATTTTATGTCCTTAACTTTATTTCAAGCTTTGGAAACACTACGGCTAAGCTAAAAAATTATTTTAGCCTATATTCTTTTATACTGTGTTCTTTATTCAAATGCGTTGGAATAAAGGTATGTTTATGCAGAGAAAATACGTTTTAGTGTCTGATTTCTTAACTTAAAATATTGTCCGCGCTAATTAATTAGCATATTTGAAATCTACCCTTTGAACCATTTAGATTGAGTCTTAATACGTGAAAATCCGATCATTCGAAGAAAAGTTATTAAGAATGATAATTATTTTTGAAATATACGTATAATTTACGTAAGTTGATTGTACCATTTTAAAGATTCCAAAAAACAGAAGTTATTTCAAATTGCTTGTATTAAATTAAAATCAGTTCCTGTTATTAATTATTCGAAGCGTTTTTCTTAAGTATAAGAATAACTTTTTTGCTTTAAACATTGATGTAATAAGCTTGTCATCTGCGTTATTGCGAGATAGGAAATTATTCTGTTATTTTATTATTTTTATTTTGTTTAATTTTTTTGCACACTCAACAATATTATAGCGTAACTTGTACAGGAAGGTACTTATAACTAATTTTTGTTGTTTAATCGTGAAAAATATTTCAAAAATAGTAAAATAAATGGGTACGTAAAAATATCAAAAAGCGTTATTTGCTTGTTTTCTACATCCTTGCCATTATTTTGATACTTGCGGATTTAATCTGTCAAGAGTTGGATTTCCTTGTCGTTGGAATATTGTCATCTATGATGGAAATCGAGCGACGAAAATATGTTTAATCTTATTTTTTTTTTTTTTTTTTTNTTTTTTTTTTTTTTTTTTTTTTTTTTTTTTTTTTTTTTTTTTTTTTTTTTTTTTTTGAAGCTTAGATGAAAGCACGTCTAAGCTGTCGGTGAATTGAAAAATTACTTTTTTGGCAAAGATGGTTATCATCTGTAAGAAAGAAATGAATAAAATATGGATGATTTTATTTTATTTTATAAATCATAATATACGAATGAAACAAAAATAATAAGTTTCAAGCTTCTTTAAATATAAAGAATTCGCAAAAATAGTAATTTAGATGCATCATAATGATAATTAAATAAAAATATTAACCTTAATTATTTATTCTATCGAAACCTTTTTTTTTTCTCTATATCTTTCTTCTGAAAGGGAATTAGTAGTGAGAATATGCTTAACATAATATCGAACGTTATTCAAACGGGAACGTTATTCAAAAACATGACAGTATATTTCCAAGAATATATATATTTGTGCTCCTTCTATTAAATATTTTCATACTTTCCACTATTCATATTAAAAGAATCTGTCGCAGTTTTTTGTCACTTGCGTTATTTTTAGTACGCAATATTGACTTTAATAAAATTTTATTATTTGTGATTTTTATATGTTGTCTATAATTAATTGCAATTTTATTACAAAGGATTACATTTATTATTTTAAACGTTTATAAGTGTAGTTTAGTGGTATTTGGAATAGTTTATAAAATAATTCTAAATCTAATTTTTTTTCACAAATTGTATCAATTTTCCCCAAAATAAGTTTTAAATAATAATAATAATATTGATAAAAATAATATTAATAATAATAATATTAATAATAATAATATTAATAGTAATAATATTAATAATAATAATTTTAATAATAATAATATTAATAATATTAATAATAATAATAATAATAATAGTATTAATAATAATAATATTAATAATAATAATAACAACAACTGTGTGCTCCTCCGAAAATTCTCCCTACGAGATTAAAGAATTCATGTGATACTCTTATTATCAAAAGTTCCGTTAAGAACAAAAAACATCAAGAAAACAAAATCCAAGAACTCAATTTGACATCCAAGATGGCGAGAAAAAAAAAGTGGACTTTTATGCCTGCACAGTGCATAGAAATTTCATTATTCTCTGTTTCTTTTTATCCCTCATCCTTCACGAAGTTTTTATTGTTCTTGGAGGAATAAAGACAACAAGGGGTAATTTTGAGATAAGCACATCATTGAAAATTCTCTCAATAGGTGCTTGAAAAAGATATATTTTTGAACTGTTTTTTAAGTATTCTTCAGCACAAGAGCCGTTTTTAGTCACATAAAAACTTAATACAATTTGAAAGGAAAATAAGAGGAAATATTAAATCAACTTGCTTAATGAGAATTAGTTTTTAAATGTTCATGTCAAATTCTTTCTTTCGTTTTTCAATTTAAATATTTAAAAAATTTTCCTTTATTTTTTATTTTATTTTTAATTTTTTCTAAATTTTATTTATTATTACAATTTATTTTTTTATCTTTGTTATTATTTTTGCATAAAAATAATCAAATTTGGGAAATCTGTTGTGTATGGTTTTACAGTTATTGCTTAAAATTGTGGTTTTAAACTGTATCATTTAGGTATCATTTTGCAATAAAAAATTATTTAAATTCACTTAAACATAATTTTTTTCCTTTTAGAATTTGCCTCTTCCATTTCGTATCTTCGGATTCAATCACCAAGAAATAGCCGTTCCTCAACCAGGAGTTCAACCTGAAAAACCTACGAACTGTTATCATTTTTACGTATCACAAAATATGTCTTCCCTTCTATCCGATGCCACAAAAATGTTGCGGCAAGTGCATGACAAACGGGAGAGGGAATGGATTCTCACCTTCATATATCGCATCAAATCTCTGGCGGAACACCTCAGATCTCACCCCGATTCCCAAAATTATGAAGAATGTCTAGGAGTAGAGAACGACGGCAGTAAAAGGTCTTTGTTCTTGACCGAATCTTTAAGGATTCCTCAACCAGAGCTGTACTTCGAGGATGACTTCCAACCGAATCAGAATCAAAAACGTTCCACGGATGATTCTGAGCCATCTAAATCCGAACAAGCTTTAGGTGACCACAAAGACCAGGACAATCAAGTATCTCAGAAGGAGTCAACAGAAGTGAAAAACCAATCGGCACCCAGCCCTTCATCGCAACTGATGGATTCCGACAACTTCAACTCTGTTGCTGAATCCACTTCTGAAGCTGTAACTCTTAAAAAGGACGTCGACGCACAATTAACATCAGATTCGATGCCAACAGCAGCCATATCCACCAACTCGGAGCTTACACCTGGTCAGATATCGGACATATCACCGACACCAGAAGAAACGAGCTGGATGACCGGCAAGGAGGGTGCCATTGCTACTGCTGTCATCTCAACCGAGCCAAATTGCATTCCACGTCACAATTGCAGTGAAGGTGGCAAAAATGTCCAAAGCCAAGAGAGCGAGAGAACTGGGGAAGAAGATGAACTGGAAAGAGAATTACATGCCAGGCGGCAACAGAATATTGAAGAAGAAATGAAACATCAGCAAATGTTGAAGGTAAGATAGATCATTTTCAAAGCGATTGGTCACTTTATTTTTATAAAATTACATTCCTCTTATATAAATTTTTTTTATAACCATAAGAAGTGAATTCTTCCCCTAATGACTGTCTAATAAAAAACGTAAATGGTATTACTTATTAAAAAATATGTTTTAGAAACACTGTTGACGTGAGAAGCAAATGGAAAAAAAAACTTATCTGAAATAGATAAGGTAAAATGTATATAAGTACAGGGTTATTCATAATTCCCTCCGGGGTTTCGAAGCGTTATAGTAAAAAAACGATGACGCATATGGCAAAAAGAACATATGAAATTATTACGAAAGTATTCAAGTTTTAATTTAAGCAGTTGCCGATAGATGGCAGTAACATGTACTACTGAAGCCAGTCGTAGTAAAGAAAAATGGCGTTTACAGGCGGTGGGAATTATGAATAACCCTGTATAGTCTACTTACAGCCCAATTTTTTATTACCCATTTTGCCTTAATTTAGTACTATTTTTAAAATGCGTGCCAAAATGCCTCTCTTCTGTGATACGCACAATAATAATTATGATTATAAATAGTGAGTCAAGCTGGTCATGCCTACGGCTAGACTAAAGAGCGTAATGATTAAAATAAGTTTATTGAGTGCATTTGATACATGTGTGGAATTGTAGGGAAAATATTTCTATTTACGTAACACGGTGTTTAAGTTTATTCTAGCTGAATAAATAATATTATGAGGCTTTTTCCGTATTCTAAATGCTGTTTTACAGATCAGTAACTCTTAATAGACGATTGTAGGATATTATCCTGAGATTACGAGAGTGAAGGATATTATATTGAAATTAACTTCGCAGAAGAGAAGTTGTAGGAGTCACGTCTGGGAAACAAGAGGGCATTCCTCAACTCTGCCTTGCGCAGTTTCTTGCAGCAACATATCGTCAATTTTTCAAAATATATCGTTTTTTAGATTATCCATTTCACTCGAATTTCGATGCTTAATGATGGATAACCTAAAAAATTAATAATAATAAAAAATCAAATAAACCCATTGGCATTTTTTTATATTTATTTTCTTTTCTTTATGAATATATTTTTTTTAAAAAAAAAAGTCAACTGGATTTTACAGCTAACAATACAATTGAAATGTTTTTCCTGCTGTTGGATATCTTATAATAATGCTCTGAAGCATGGCTATCCAAAGTATGAATAAATTTCATGAATGTTGCGACCTTTGGTGCAATTTAAAAACAAAAAAGTTCCTATCCTCTTTTAATCTTGATTTCCTTCATTTTTAGCTTATTTTTATATAAACCTTATTATTACAACTTTACTGAAAACTATTCTTATTATCAAATATACTTTTTCTTTTTTAAAATTATTAAGGGGAAGATTCGCATGTTTACTCACTTTTATTAAAAAAAGTTTCATTACGTAATATTTAAATTAATATACTAATAAATCACATGCAAAAACAATATGCAAAATATATGTTGTATGTAATTATTATTAAATTCAAAACAATAATTTTTCCTTTTCAGGAACGGATTCGAAAAGCTTTATTAGAAGAACTAGCACCGGAGGTAAACTTCTCATGCATAATGTTTTTTTCTTCTTTTCTTTGTATTTTAAACAGTGAAGGTTTTAAGCAATATATTTTTGAACCACATTTTTAAATTGTTACAAGAGAATTTTTGGTAACGAACACTACAATTTCCATAAAGGCAATAATATATATCTGTGGATTGTGAAAATTCCAGCAACTCGTAAAATATCCATACAAAAAATATATTAAGGAACAGTTTAATGTAAAAATGTCACATTAGGTAAAAAAGGAAGTCATTATTGTTTTATTGGATTTTTCACAAGTCGGAACCCTTTGTTGCTCATGAAATATTATTCCGTTTTGACTCTCCGTTATAGCATTGTACAATTTTTTATTTTTTAAATTTATAGACCTTAATGTTAGAACATTTAATATTGTGTTGCTTTTTATTAGAAAAAATGAAAGAAATAAGTAAAGGCGTAACTTCTAATCACCAAGACTAATGTCAAATATCATTAAAGAATGGAAAATAAAAGAATTGTTAACATTTTCTAAATATGTTTAGCCAACATCATCCTATGGTAACATGTTTAACATTATTTTATATTTTAGAATAATGTTTATCATAAAAAGTGCCTTGATATTTAAATTTATTCTTGGTAAAAGTTTAAAAAAAAAGTTAATTTGAATATTTTATACGATTCAAATTAGCTTTAAATTCTTATCAAACTTTCATGTTTTATAGTTTTTATTTTTCTTAAATATAAGTTTCTTGTTAAAAGGTAGAAGGTTTTAAAACTGTTTTTGTTTATTTATAGTTTTAAAAATAAAAATCTTTTTCGAACTACCACTATCTAATACTAGGTGTACCAAAAATGACAGCAGATTTGATAAACAAACGGCAAGTGACAGAAATATACGGCTTGCTGTATTTTGCTTAGGAAACCAGTTATTTAATCTCATGATTGAAGTTCAAAATTAGTCACAAATTTCGTCGATAGATGGCCTTGTTGGCTGGTAAAAAATGTTTTCTACTGCATGTCAAACTATTTCAATTAAAATATTTGCTCGGGATTCTTAATTTTGTCCAACGACTGCATCTCGTTATTGCTTCAAATGGTAGTTATTTTGAAAACGTTACTTAATAGTTTTCTTCAGTTACCTGTACCATCGATCGACCAACACTGTAACCCATGGGTAGGAATAAACAGTTTTATAAGCAGAACGCAATAATCCGAACATTTCTATCTTCTTCAATTTCTCTTTAATTGATCTTTGGAATCTTCAATTGGATACCTGCAAATTACGTCATCGTTGGTAAATCTTGGCATTCGTCGATTCAGAAGCCAATCAGGTTCGACACTTAAGCGTGATACTTCTTATTTAACTAATTAAATCTGATTTAAATCACATGCTTAGGCATAATTACTTAAATTTTCAGACGCCTAGTATTATCTTATTTTTTTTTAAATATAATTTTTACAGCAACAGAGTACCCCTGAAAATGTGATTGTGCAGTTGCCATTTAAAAATGAACTCATCTATAATTCGATTAGTCATTGTACAAATTCATCGAATTTAATAAAATTGTATCTAGAAATGAGAAACATTGGTTTTGTAATTTGTATTAATGTATATATTTTTCTGCAACAGATTAAAAAGCTACGAACAGTTGGAGGAACGGCAGATGATTTAATTGATCTATGGAAGCAAAGTGAAATCGATGTAGCCAAAGGTAAATGATTTTAAACTTTTAATCAACTAACAATCAATATAGGAAGTTAGTTTTTCCTTTGTTATTTAACATTAAATTAGTGTGAAATTTAATCAAGGAATCTTTCTCTATATGTCTCTTTCTGGGAAATTCTGGCAATAAGATTAATTAGACTCCAAGTAGATCACGTTGTTTCAAAGGGTCTCTAGATTTTTAAATCTAAATAAACTTAAAAAATGAGGAGAAAGGAAAAAAAAAGCTTGACACGAAATGCGGAAAAATCTTACAAAATTTAGTGTCAACATTATCAGACAACGTAGGAAATATTAATTAATTTGTGACTAAACTAAAATTTTTTAGTAATATTTTTTAAATCAATAAATTAAAAAAATTCGTCAAATTTTGAAACGCAAAAATTATTAAATTTAATAAAGTTAACAAAATTGTAAAAAAATATATGATACCTTGTGAGAGAATTTGTCGTCTTCAGAAACTTTGTTGTAATTAAAAAAAAAAAGAAAAAAAAAAAGAAAAGGAAAAAAAAACGCTTTCATACGCTACCGAATGCAAAAGTAGAAAGCGGAAACCCTAATTATTTATAGTTAAATGTCTCTAGTTATTCGTAATAATGGTCATTTTAAATTAGGTCACACAATAAGGAATTGAATTTTATTACTCAACCATACTATTCCAATACTATCATATTACCACTCTAATCATACTGCTACACTAAAAATCTACTTTTAAAAAAAATTTTAGTAGAAAAGAAAACATTATATGAAATAGTCCTCACAAATTTTATGGAAATTAATTCTCTGTCAAATTGGCTGAAAATTTGATATGTTGTAGTGTAGAACCCGTTATCCGGAACTCAGAAAACCGGAACGAAATTCAATAAATTTTCCCGCCATTTAAATTTTTTTTTTCTTTTCCTCTTAAGATTTTAGGATTTTTCTTTCATTTTTGAAAGATGTTTACCTTACCATTATTTTGGAAATAATCATTAGTGTATTACTTCATCGTTTTTTCTTCTTTTTAAGTTTATTTCCAAATATATATATATTTTTTTAGTTGGGTTTAACAATAAAAAAAAACGGCTTTTTGTAGCGATCCACAAAAGCGGAAAAATCAGTTATCCGGAATAGCGATGCTCTTGATCGTTCCGGATAATCGGTCCCCTACTGTAGTTCCAAAAATTGATAGTTTCCAAGATTCAAAGCCTCAAACCATAAATAATAATTCTTAACTCTCTCTATCTGTCACGTTAATATTAACCAAGGAAAGAGAAAAAAATGGTAAATAATGAATTTTTAAATAGACAATTGAAAGCTAGATTGAGTAACAGAAATCTGGAAACACGTCCAACGCTAAATGAGTAGCTATACTCTGTTGAAAGTTAAGAAAAAGCCATTATTCCTACGGAGAGAGCCTGTTTGCTTCTAAATGGATGCTAAATGGCACACTAAATGGAAGCCAATCTCCCAACTCAAGCGTATATCAATATTGCCTACTTGTGAAACGACGTCGCACAGTCTTCTTTTTGCTTTCTTTCTTATTAACAACAATAATAAATTAACAAGTAATACGAATTAATAAAAAATATCAGAAAATATAAACGTCTTTCTGTTCGCATTTAAAGAAACTGATGAAGGAATAATAAATATTGTTCTTGTAGACGATTTTCTTCTACACATATTCGAGTGCCCTGCACTCACTACACATGTTTTGAAAATGGGAATGGTACCAATTGAGGACCATCTAAGAGCTGTTCTCTACAGTCAAAAGGCGCCGAAGATGGCAACAGCAATAGTCCAGACTTTTAGATGTTTTCTGAAAATCCATGGACACGAAAACAACAACAACAACAGGAAAAATTATCGGTGATTCGGGAATTGTTTCCATACCTGATGATGAGGATTGCTCATCAGATAAAGATTACTAATTTTGTTTTGCACGCAAGACGAGGAGTAACAAAAAAATAAAAAGTAAACACATTTTTTGTTACTACGTATTATTTTTCAGTCATTTTTGTATTACATTTTATTGGTCATTTACTTAAATAATGTGCAAAAAAAAAAGGTCATTTATCTAAGTAATGCGTTGGAGCCATTAGTTAAAACTGTTGACGGATATAGTGAAGTCCCGGTTATAGTGAACCGAAATTTCGACCCCTTGAAGGTTCACTATAGCGGGGTTTGACTGTATATCGTAAATGGTGACAGGAATCAAATTTCTGTCTGACGTGTTTAACTTTCAAAAGCTTTTATATTGGTTTGAAATCATATTTGTTTACTTTGATAACGAAATAAAGCAGAACTATGTCGCGGGTGATAACTTAAATCCTATACCACAATGCTCATTTCTTAACTTGCAACGGAGTATAGCTTTACTTTTTCGCATACACCTAAGTTTCTGCAAAGTGCATCAAGCACTTTTCCCTACAGTGACCTTTGCTATGCCTTTGCCCTTATCTCTTTTGTTTGAGGTTATCAGCTGTTGTCTTCAAGTAGTAGAAATTTTTTTTTTTTTCAAAATGTGTGTGTTGTGATTTAAATTGTTACTGAACTTTATCTTCTTCAGATGAAGAAAAAAAGCGACGAGAAAATGATTTTGACTATGAAGAGGAGGGTGCTGCTGCTGGTGATTTAAACTCCGATAAAAGCCAAATCAACTATCGTACCATAGCACCATCTAGTGACCAAGTTGAAAATTACAGAAAACCTTCAGATGAGTTACCTTATGTTCATGATGACGTTCTTGTGCAGCAACTATATGATGCTGGAAGAGAAGACGAACCATTGTATAGATCCACCAGGGCCCTTGACCCACAAGACGAGTACTTAATCATTAGTACACACATTCCTTATTAAGTAAAATAATTGCGTCCATTTTTTTCTGAAGCTGTTATGAAACTCTTAAGTGTTTTCATAGTGTTGTTCCTGATGGACAAGCTAATAAGAAGGCGGAGAATCCCTCTTTTAATTTTTGTTGATTCTTGTTTAACAGTAAATTTTTAATAGTTATTTCTTCCAATTTCTGAGATAGTTAAATTGTTATCTAGTTGACTTAACAACAGTTTGTTTTTAAATTATATCTAAAGCACTTAAACAGGAAACACTATGCTGAGCAAATAAAAGCAGAAAAATAACTCAGTTAAACTACAAATATTGATTGAGCTTGGAAAGTAGCAAAACCTATAATAACTACTGCAAGCAGAGTTAGATGAAAATTTCAAGTAGAATTCTATACATGCTTTTATCTTGTTAGAAAAATCGTTATAAATAACATTTTATTCTTTATGTGTGTAAAAATTGAATCGTTTAAAAATGTCTTGTTTGCATTTTATATACATTTATTTATTACTCGAATTTTGTGTTTGAAATTTTTTTTATATAGAAATTAATTATTGAGCATTTATTGTTGTTGTATATATATTAATTTGCGCAGTTTAAAGCTGATCTTGATACAGATTTATAGTTTGAAGACCATAATTATTATTTCGAATTAAACTGAATTTAATTTTCAAATTTGAAGCTAATAATTATTCAGTAGAATCTAGTTCTGTTTGTTTATTAATTTTAGATTATTCCATTACAAAATATATAACATTATGTATCTCTAATGCTCATGGAAATTCTGAATGAATGAATATACTCGCAAAAAAGAAAATGCTTATCCACAAGATAATGCTTAAATTTATACAATATTCTGCTGTTTTTTAGTTATTTAAATATTCATGCATATCTAGACATAGAATTAGAAGGTTGATAAAATTTATTACTCAACTAAAATTGTTCGTATTTTGATCTCCAAACTTCGTCGCGACTTTTATTTGATGTTTAATTACTGAAACTAAAACTTATTTCTCAGTAATTAAATCTATTATTACAATTCAAGATATAAAATTCACTTTTCCATTTAAACAGTAAAGTCTTAAACAAGATCAGTAACTGTATTTGATCAACAACCCATAATCACCTTTTCTTCTACCCTTAACTCCTTCATATAGTAGAACTGTTTTCATGATAGATGTTAACATTGTACCATTTTCTCTGATAGATGGAACAACTTCATAATATGGAATTCTTAAAGGGTCAACTTCATAAAAGGTAGATAAACCTACATAGCCACCAACTAATTGGGGTTCTACCCTTTAACGTGTTATAACGTGCAACCCTTTAACGTGTTATCCAATATGGGTTTAGATTCCTTTTCTAGTTTTATTTTTAAATATGTAATGATGCACACAATCAAAAACTTGAATTCAAAGCATCTTATCTTAAAGATAGATCTTAATATTTTTGTTTCGAAAAATCTCTACGTAAATGCTGCTAAATTTCAACTTATAGTTAAAAACATTATTTCTATCACTCACTATTGTAAATTTTCACAATTGTTAAAGTATTTTGCTTAAAATTTATTAAATTATCGCAGTTAAGCTCAGAGCCATAAGCATTGGAAGAAAATTTATGATGAATATGAAGTCAAATTTTCACATCTATTTATTTTTAGCAGAAATAATTATCTAATTGACTCCCTTGAACTTATAGAAGTCGAACCTCTTAACATTTTTTACTAGTATGAAATATTTGTTAATAGACAACTTGTTTTTAATTGGACTATTAACTATTATATATTTAATCTATGAACGAAAATGTAATAAATATATGTTAAATAAAAAAGTATAAGGATTTAACAAACTTCATAACATTTTTTGGATTTATTAAGAGGCATAAATGAAAAGATGCAAATTGATTGAGATTTAATTTGCAAAAGTTAAAATAAAGCGCGATTGCCGTTCAATTGAAAACACTACGTTAGTGCTTCACTATTGATTCCGAGAAAAGTGGTTCGGCTTCGATTTTCTTTTTATAGATAATGCTTTGAACGCTAAAATAGAATGTCAAAAAAAACCGCTAAAGCAAAATTTATTTTTGAAAACATTTTCTTGTAATATATAGCTTACCATACAAAGATGCCAAAGATATAAGAATCTCAATTTTGAATTTTTTGTCGCTTACGTTGATTTTTGAATTGCACGGCAGTATACTGGAATTGTTATAATTCTGAAGTTTTTGTTGTAATCAGAATTTTTTTGATCTATACGAATTTTGTTTTCGTTTAAACATTAAGAACCAGAATCAAATTATGTAACGTATTGATCTTACTTTATTTGGAATTGAAGAATTCAAAATTCTTTTTATCAATCTAATGTCTTTCGAATATTGCTGACAATTTCATTTTTTTTTAAAAATTACTTTTTGCGCAGTTTCAAATTTTGAAGATTTCTACATGCTCTTCATCAGAAATTAAGTTGAGTTTCTTTTTCCGAGGTTGATAATATTTATTTAAGATATTATTTAGTTAGGCTTGGTACTGATTCGAGCAAATATTTTTTAAACCACATTTGGACACCTTTTACTTTATTTATTAAACCATCATCATTTTTGTTTAAAACTATTACAGTTAACAGACAATTAGTTAAAACACGAAGCTGAAGCTGTGCAACAGAGTTTTTTTTTCGGTTCGGTTTTCATTTTATTTTTAATCCATAAGCAAAGTAAATATATGCATGTGTGAAAATTAGTTATAATTAAGGAGCAATATATTAATAAATAAATTTATGAAAATTAGTTATATTTTTAAGCAGCTATATTTGTGTGCGTAAATGTGTCTCGTCTCGAAATTATTTATATTATCTCCTAACTCAGATATATAGGAACAAATAATTGAGATCTATTCCGTACTTAAAGTATTAAATATTTCAAAAGAAAATAGGATATACTGCATCGGAAATTCCTAGAGTTGTTAAATGTGAACAAGTGTGATATCGTTGTATGTAATCATGAATTTTACTTCATTTTAAATGTACAAGACATATAATTTATGTTAAATGTTATGTAAATTCAGATGACTTACAGTGATGACATATTTATGTATTGTACATGTGCTGATATTTGTAAGTATATACATTAAAAATGTATAAAAACAAACATTGGTGTATTTTTTTTCTTACTTTTAACTCGTTTATTACAAAATATATTTTAATTTTTTGAAAAGGGGGAAAAGGTGAATTCATGTTTAAAATGAAGGTAGCAAAATACTCATTTTTGTGTAAATGTTTTTTGTTTTGTGAAACTGTGAATTTTGCTTAAAGGTTTTTGGTAAAATCTTATAAAGCTATAAATTATTTTGAACTGAAATTTTTTATTACAAATACGGCATTTATTCTTTCTGATTGACTGTCTTTGAAGAATGCAACAAGTTCTGATTTTTATTTTTTTTCTTCTGATTTTTATCGTATTTTTAAAATTTGATTTCTCAGGAACTATTCGACGATTTCACTCAATTTTTGTATCTTGCCTTTTAAAATTGCATTCTTTAAAATGATGTAAATAATTGTATATCTTACTTTTCATTTTTTCGACCATTATTAAATAAAATAATAATAAATAATAAATATTTACTAAAAGTTATTTTTCGGATAAAGTTAATTATGGATAAACAAATTTTGTAAATGTGTGAAATTTTTTTAATTTCTCTTAAAAAGTTCTCGAGATTTGACGAAAAACTTAAGTAAAATGAACAATAAGTTGTCCAAACTCTCCGCACACTCACCTGACTAAACTATTGGGACCATATTTCACAGATTGCTGTTACTTCCTATATTTTGGGGGTAAGAAATCTGAGTCTGTGAAAAGAAGAAAAAAAAAAGATATGTTTACCCAGAAAATCCATTTTTGTGTTTGATTTCGTAACTTAAAATATGGTCTGCACTAACTTGATAGCATATTGGAAGTTAACCTTGCGAACCATTAAGATTGCGTCCTAGAATATTAAGATCCGATCATTGGACCAAAAGTTATTCAGGGTGGTCCATATTTTTTTGCGCACTCTACAAAACAACTTTATTTTGTAACAGTGAGAGATTTAGTAATGTGTATATATTACTCATGTTGTTAATGTAGATCCCATTTCAAGTTATTAACTTTCCTTTTAGAAAGATAATAATTCTGAAGCAGAGTGCAATAAACCATTTTAAAGATTGTATCAAAAAGAAAATATTTATCTAAAAAAAGAAAAAATATGAAAACGCGCAGTGTAAAGTTTTTTATTTAATTTTTAAGTGTCCATTCTATTGTTAGGGATAGGATAGTAAATAATATTTGACTAACATTTTTTGAAAAACTTGCAAATTAGAAACCAAAATTCAATATGTTATTTTAAAATTTTTGAGAAGTTAATGTTTTTAAATGGATGTTTTATAACATAATAACTTACTTTTTTTCAGCCATGTTTAAACTTATTTTCGAAAGTAATTAAAAAGATAAAGAACAAAAAAAAAAGGACTCAGAAGTATAGTATAAGGAACCAATTAATAAGATGAACACAAGTAAAAAATATATTTCTCAATAAAGTAAAAATTTCGAGGTGCAAATTATTTTTTTTTATAAATATTTTTAAGTATACGTTGTATCATTACAAACTATGAAATTTTTTTAAGGTTAAAACTATATTCAAATTAAAGATATTGTAAAAATCAGATGTCAAGTGTAATGTATCATTATAAAAATGGATATGAGTAGAATACATTTATTTGAAAAATTTAAATCTTTCTCCGTGAAAATATTTTATTTTTAAATGATAACTGTATTTTTACACATATCGCAATTTCTACACAAAATTAAACTCATAGCCTTCTTTTAAAATCTCATTTTAAACTTTTATGTTATACTTTGATTTTATTTTATAAATTTATTTTTATATTTTATAGCCGGCGTTAAACAACTGACCCAATTCTGAGTTTACTACTATCAATGTTCGACTCTTTAGCCAAGTAATTTTAAACCCAACCCAGAAGACAAGGGATGTCCTGTATTAAGAACTGGGACGAACTAGCCTTCGAAGAAGACTATTTTATGGAACTAGCCGCATTTGCGTTACACGGAAAAGAAAAAAAATACGATAACTTTCCACGGTTAGCCCGACAGTAAAGTGACTCTAGCCCATTATCCATGTACCACTGATGATATCTTATGTCAGCATCATGGATGGTGCGAGCCTGGTGGGGAATTCGTATCGACCAGCCATTGCTGTGATTCGAACGCTGGTCACTTCATTGGGAGGCTAGCGGTCTATCTCCTGAGCCACCACAGCTCTTACATGGCCCTTTTGGAACTATTTATAACTCAGACGCAAAGAGTTAAAATTAATTGATTTAAATGATTTTTTATATATTTTAAGAAATCTTCATCGCAAATCATTTTACAAATGGTAACACTTTTATGAAATGTAAAACTTATTTTCGGCAACCATTTAAAAAAAATTAAAAATCAGAAGCGTTGCGTAAAGTACTAATTTAAATATGGAAACGAATCTAACTGTTTAACTTAAAATTTAAATGCTTCGCTGCGCAAATTTTCCCAAGGAACTTTTTGAATGATTATAATAAACTAGGAGGCTTCGCCCCCTGCTCGCTGGCTCTCACCAACCCCCGGAACTGCTTTCGCAGTTCATTTCGGATTGCTTCGCAATCCAATGCTCGCTTTGCTCGCTCATTGGATACGTTCTTAACGTCTAGTTTTTGTATACTTTTTTGAATACTGAAGTTCCGAAAACTTTTCACTGTAGAAAATTCTAAACCTGTACATTTCAATATTAATTTGAAATTGCAAACAGTTCACATATTTTTCTTAATCACACTATTCTAAATTTCAGTTGTTGAGAAAAGTAACTGTTGTAAGTTTTGTTTTAAAGTCTTTCCCACCAGAGGGCTAAAGCCATGTGTTGTAAAACAATATGAAATAGTAGTCTGCCACTGAACGCCGGATGTAAAGCATCGGCTTTGATGAAGATAATTTTGTATTTTTAATTCTCTGAAGGGCGCCACCTTAATAATATGGAATTTGTAAAATAAATGTATATATTTTTGATTGTTGATGAAGCCCATCATTTTGTGTTTTCATCAGTGTTCAGAAGCAGAACAACTATAAGTTTTTTATTTTATCACAAAAATATAAAATGTATAAAAAACAAAGAAAAGAGTAAGAAAATGAGTATAGTCATAGAAAAAGTTAAAATTATAATATAGTATTTGTCAGTTAAAATAAAACTTTTTGTTTAAGTCATTGCTAACAATTCAAATTTCTCCGAGGCAATTCTAAAGTATAAATTAAGGTAGTATTGTTAAGTTGAAACACAATATTTTTAGTTTTGATGTCAACAATACAATTCAATTTTTCACAAAAACGATTGTTTCCATTGTTAAGTTCAATGTCAACAATTCAAATTTTTCTGAGGCAACTCTTAACCTCTAAATATTATTTTTTTTATGTACACATTTCTAAATGTCAGTATTCAACCACAAAACAACTTAAAGTCCTCAAATTTAGCATGAAGTTGTAAAATGTAATGAAAGAGGGTCATAGCAATAATGAAAGTAGAAGTAAAGTTAGTACTGTAAAATTAAAACAATATTTTTAATCAATGAGCCAAGTTCTTCAAGAAGCAGTTGTAGAAGTAGGCTGTTTATTTAAAACTTTTTATAGAATTTCTTTAAGAACACAATTGTTAATTAAGGGCATTTAGCGATACAACACTTTTAGAATTGAAGGATTTGTTACGTCAAGCGCTCAGGTATCATAATTTTGATCTAGTTGCGCTTCTATATCATTTCGATTTATGTTGCTAAGTTAACTTTCAAAAAATTCTATGGCTGGAAACAGCATTTTTATTTTTTAAGTTGTTTATTTTTATTTTGTTTAGAATTCGTTATTTTTTTAGCGAAATGTTTTTTAACCTAACAGAATTCTTTGCCGACTGTTTTCTCTATGAATGAAGAAAATAAAGTAAATATTTAACTGTTGTGAAAAGAATCTTATTTAGTTGTACAAAGTACTTCAGCCAAAATTTGGGAGCCACGTAAGAGAATTATATATATTAGATCAGAAACACATCATTAAAAGGCAGAATGCTTTGGTGTTTTCAATACAAAGCAAACGTTGCCACCGGCGAAAAAGAAATACAGACAAAATTTGGGAGACACGTAAGAGAATTATATATAATAGATTACATAAATAAGAATTTTTTTTTCACCGAAGTTAACATTTAGACATTTTTGGAAAAAATCATAAAACAGAAACAAAGAGTTAAAAATTCATTTAATGGATTTAATAAATAAATTCAATATTTATTTTAAAAACTAGGAGGTTCTACCCACCAATGTTTTCATTCATTGTATGTTTTCATTCATACCATTTCTTTTTTCTAAAAGTCGATAATTTTTTCCTTGAAAACAAAAATTTTGTTTATAAAATATTTAATTATCATAATTTTATCGTACAAAACTTTGCTAATATGTTAATCATAACCAAATAAACAACTTGAGAAATTTCCACCGTGAAAAAAAAAATCAAACTTAGAAATACAGATTGTGTGATACAATAAGTGTAATTTTACTCGTTAATGATATATAATGATAACCTTACATTATTATATTGCTAACCTGTAATTGTAACCTAATAAACGATTTGAGAAATTTCCACCGTACTTGAAAATAAAAATTAAACTTAGAGATTATGTGACACAGTAAGTGAAAATGAATAAGAAGTAATTTTATACGTTAATGATATAAAATAATAACCTTACATTATTATAGCAGTTCAGATTGGAAATGGTTTTTGTTTCTCTTGAGTCATTAGTAATTTTAAAAATTTCGATATAAATGTTAAGATTTATATCTGGCAACATCTCATCTCCATATCTCATTATCATTTCTTAAAACCCGTTAATTCATTTTTTATTACACTTGACAACAAGTCAAGCGCGAGCTTATAAAATGGATATCTCGAGAGGGATAAAATTTTCTTCAACAAGAATTAAATAGTCATTTCTTAAAGATTCTTCGTATTTCCAGTATATTTTCTACCCTCTATCGTAATTAGAACTTCCTAAGAGTAATAGATTTTATGCAACGAAACGAAATGTAAAGTTA